CACGACACTAGTATATGCTTGAGCAAAGAAGGGCAATGGGCAAAGACAGATTTTAACGTAAAATTTACCTACAGGTATCGAGATTTCCTTGGATAGGATCCTCATCTTGGATACCCTGTATGTGGATTTTATATCGTTCATTTTGTGCCACCCTGTATAAGAATGAAGTGTAATTACCCCTGTGCGCATTCGCCATAATTGGGTCGTATATATGTCGGGTAGTGCATTCACCATTTCCTAGAAGCATACAATCTACATCATTTTCCACATTAATTACCTAACTGGATTTGTAAATCGGTGCACTTCAAAACAATTTCTAGGAAAAATCGTGAGAAGAAACAGGAAGGATCACAGGTGCCGTTGTCGCAGAAACCCGCAGGCGGAATCGATTTCAGGATTACTTTGTTCAATGAGACGTGACGTCGACAAAAGCTGTTTATTAAGTTTGCATTTATGCCAGGATAAGTCAGAGACTGATGAGCTTTTTAAAAAGGCAATATGTTTTAGGAGCTTTATTTTTTTTATAAACAAGAACTGGAGAGACTTGCCGTCTACTTAGCAGATTATTATGTAGTTCTCATAAATATACTAAGTGACATATAAATCCGAACACCCAGTTTAAATGGTTTTATTTTAATAAAATTTTGTATAAGTACTTAATGAAGCATAATAAGTAAATGATAAAAATTTCAAAATGATTGCACTGCTTTAAAGCCCTTTGACCTTTAATAATGTGTGGATGCACCCTGATGTGCTACGCATTCTCCAACGCGCCTAGGCATGCTTCTGATCAGGTGGTCAATGTCCTCCTGTGGTATCTCATTCCAGGCAACCACCAACTCCTCTCGAAGTGCTTCTAGAGTCTGAGGAGGACGTTGCAAATTGAGCAATCTCCTACCCTTCATATCCTACACGTGCTCAATTGGGGATAAGTCGGGAGGTCTTGGTGGCCATGGTAACAATGTGACATCATTATGTTGAAAGAAGTCTATTGTGACTCTTGCAACATGTGGTCGGGCATTATCTTGTTGGAAAGTTGGATCTGCCAGGGTGTCAAGATAGGGTAAAAGATGGGGTTCTAGAACTTCGTGGATATAACGCTGCGCGTTCATGTTACTTCTGATGAAAATTAAAGGCGACCTGGAACCATAAGCTCTAGCACCCCAAACCACAACTCCAACAATGTAATGAACATGTCTTTCAACAAAAAACTGTGGATTCCTCCTGTCACCACGTCGCCTTCTAACCCTGGCACGACCATCGTGCATGCCTAAACAAAATCGAGACTCGTCACTAAAGACAATACTGTTCCATTCCTGATCCCAGAGTGACCGTTGTCTGCACCACTCAAGGCGATTACGTCGGTGTTCTCGAGTTAAAGGGAGGACCCAGTGTGGCCGGTATGAAAACAAGAAAAAAATTCTCATTCGTCGGTAAACACTTCGCATGCCAATAGGTCTTCCGTGTTCTGCAAACCATTCATTTGCAATAGACCTGGTTGTGGAGAAACGGTCCCTTAAGGCCAATAATCTTAGGCGGCGATCTTCACGGTCTGTTGTTCTACGGCAGCGTCCAGTGCCCCTTGCTCTTTGCGTACGGCCTTCTCGAAGCCATGCCTGACAACACCTAACCACAGTGTCTACACTTCTTTGCACTCTAACTGCAATTGCCCGAAAAGAAAGTCCAGCTTCCCGAAGTCCCACTATACGGCCCCTATTAAACTCACTAAGTTGACGAAATCGTACAGGTCTCCGTACTCTAGGCATCGTAACCGATCGTAAAGGATGTCAAGAACCAAAATCCGCCAACGTTGATTCTTTACTGCGGCTGAAATATTCATTTTTAGAGCGTTAGTGAATTAAAAAAAGCAGTATAAAAACCGGAATGTCCAACTGATAAGGCTGAAAATTTTTTCACTTGTTATTTACAGTAAGATAAATACATTCACCAACTTTTAATAAAATAAAACCATTTAAACTGGGTGTTTGGATTTATATGTCACTTAGTATACCTAAAAACTTATTTGTCGAGTTTTTGATTCCTACCAATACATTTGATTGAAACCCAAAGAACACGTTTTGTTGTCGAATAAAAATGTTTCACATAAAAATTGCTGTACCCATTCTATGCAACTTGTTTCAATAAAAACAAACTTTACAGTTATTTCGAGGAAATTTACTAATATGATTAGACTAATATTATATTCAACACAAGCATCTTAACATATACATAAAAATTCTTTTTTTTCAAAGGAATAATTTTGCTTGAACAATGTCACAAAAATTGTGAATAAAGTTTTATGTAAATTGAGCCAGTGCAAGAAAATTCATCTCCAGATTCCGCGTTAATGAGAGACTTCCATGGCTCAATTACTGCTGATGAGGAAAAAACCCATTTTATTACAAGAATATCCTTACTGTGAAAAGAAAACTGTGACAAAAATTAGTAAATGACGTTCTTTTAATGATAAATATTTAAGAAATAACGCAGTGTCTCATTTGTCGAATAAGGATTAGGTTTTGAAGTCCATACACGGTTTCCCTATTAACTTTCAAATTCAAAGTTTGACCGAAAGTCAAGTTACCGTTCTCCGACCGCAATAACATTTATTTTTTGAGATGTAATTATCATATTTATTTTTGAGTGTATCAAGTTAGAAGGCTAAAATCATAAGACATGAAATTGAGGCATGCTCCCGCGTGAAGGCGGATTGACGCTAAAAAATGAGTATTACCAGGAGCCAGAAGCATATTAATAATTGGGGTGCAACAATTATAACCCCCCACCTTCTAGCTCCCAATTCAACACCTCCAAAGAATTTTTGATAATGTCTCCGGAACCTCAAAAGTCTAAACCTAGAAAGGTTTTTCGTGCTTGTCACAGTAGTAACCTTGTGTCAAAGCTTCATCCAAATCTAAGCGTTATTCTCTAAGTCATAGAAAGACCTTCACGTCCATGTCGTCTAACATACAAAATCATAACATCTCATTTTAGAAATTTTCGGCATATTTCGTGAATTTATTTTTAACTTTATATACGTTATACTATATTTTATAAATGAATATCAATCCTCAGGTTAATTTTTGTGGAAAGCTAGACATATGGTTCCAGGCATAAATTACATCCGTGGGTCATTTTTTCAGTCAGAACGTCTGGAACTCAAGAGGCTCCTGATCAGTGAAAATTTTGAGTACAGAGAGACTCGACTTGCTCTTCAGTCATCACCAGCGGCAAAATATGGGTCGCAGAATTTTACCCTTGTTCCGTCAGTCATAAGCCCGGCCCTGTCTGTGGAAACACCTCCCTTTACCGTGCTCTGTTGCGTTTAATAATTTTGAGGGGTGGAACATAACCTTCAAAGATACAGACTGGGGTGCCCATGTTACTTGGAAGCAAAGCACTGAAGTTTTAGAACTTCGCAATTTATGAAGTAGGTGTTTCGTGTTTCTGAGGTGATTATTATTAATTAGTATGCAGCTAACGTGGTGCATACGTTAAATGAATATATAAATGCTACAGTCATCATAAAAATCACCTTTTACTGCAAAAATCAGTCAAAAGTGTTTTTGACTAAGGACGTTGGTCGAAACCACTTTCAACGTCGTGATTTTGATTGAACTGTTTCGGTCAAAAGTGGTTTAAGCCAAGAATGTAAATCAAAACTACTTAGAATATAATTTCATATATTGTTTACTGGTCATTAAAATTTTCACAGAAAGGAAATACGTATTTTACTTATAAAATTGTCGACATACGATAAAACTAATTAGATAACATTTTATTTGTCCACCCTCCTTGACAATTGCGAAAATAAGAGTCTGAAAATGGATGTAATTAAAAAGTTGAGTCAATTAGTTTTTTAGCTTACAGTTTAAATTATTTATTCATGTTAGCTGCTGTACTATCCAGTCCCAACAGAATTTTTTTAGAACAATGAGCGTAGAGGTACTACCTGGTGAGTCTCTATGGTCGGGCCCGAAAATGTGCATGTCACATTATTTATAAGAAGACAAAAGGACACTCGTTATGCAGGAGAAAATAAACTTACAACACATCAATTTTATAAAAATATCTGAAGTGATAAAGATGCTGAGTTGTCCTTTTAAAAAAGAATTGTTCGAGAACTTCTCGACAAAGTACCGTTCAGTGAAGCATAAATACTCATTAATATATCTTTATCGCGTTATAGTCTTGTACTATATAAAATTAGATGAAGGCTTCTTCGAAAGAATCACACTAAACTAACTCGTAAGCAGTGGTCATTTATCGAAAGTTTCCATGTTATCCCATAATATAAATCTAAATGGCAATTGGTATAAATCTCGTTAATGCGGCGTCTGTGTGCTCCAGAAAAGAACCTCCTCGTTGGAATGAATCATTTCATTACTCGCGCTGGCGGGATATGCTCTACTGCTTCCAACCTTCAGAAATAGTAATTGTTCTTATGTTCGTTCAATTTCTTTAAGTTGGATATGTTGGTACAGATGTAACTACACCATACAGGAATAGAAGGCTGTTAGCAGTTGACTCAGATTTATTAAAATAGGAAAGCTAGTAAAAATAATTATAGTTACATGAAACTCTATACAAACTTGAACATAAGCAAGAGAAAGTCGTGATTAAAATTTGAAGGGTAAACATGGGCGCATCGGAATTGAAGGATTCTCCTCGACATCTCACAGCATCAATCGGGTGTGCCCCAGGGATCAGTCCTAGCCCCGACACTGCTGCTCTTACAAATCAACGACCTTATTTTCTATCCGATCAATCCAATCCACAGCTTGACTGCTGCCAACATTGCATGCAGAAATCCAGAGTGACAAGCCGATCTTTGCTGGTGAGCTAGGAAAAAGAAGACTTCTTCTCTGACTTGGAGGTTACCATTGCTTGGTGCCGCAACAATCTAGTAGATTTTAATGTCTGTGAGTGACCCAAATTCGGTAAACAACTTAAAAAAAGCTCACTCTCACATTTATATGATGTATTTAATAAACTCTTACCATTTTCCATAGAAACTCTAGCCTTAAATCCCCCAAAATGGTGTGAATAATCCGAGCTAAACCTCAGTCTCAGCCTAGACCCATTGCTGACATGCCTCAGTAGCTTGAGCTTCGAGCTCCAATCGCCACACAGGCGTTTCGAAGCTACAGACTCATTGAAGCTGGTGGAGTCATTGGACCGTACTTCTAGGATCATCAGATAGTCATAGCTGCAACTGAAACAAAACAAAAATTTACCGTAAAATTGTATTTTCACGACAAATTATTGAGCGGAGTGAAACAGAGTGCTGCCTCTCAACAATTATTGTGATCACCCGCAACATACCTATAGAGTAGTCTCTAGTGAGCGAAATATCAAATGAGATAATAATTATCTTAAAAAAATACGCGAGATAGTTACATACATATACTAAGTGACATATAAATCCGAACACCCAGTTTAAATGGATTTATTTTATTAAAATTTTGTTTAAGTAGTTAATGAAGCATAATAAGTAAATGATAAAAATTTCAAAATGATTGCACTGTTTTAAGGCCCTTTGACCTTTAATAATGTGTGGATGCACCCTGATGTGCTACGCATTCTCCAACGCGCCTAGGCATGCTTCTGATCAGGTGGTCAATGTGGTATCTCATTCCAGGCAACCACCAACTCCTCTCGAAGTGCTTCTAGAGTCTGAGGAGGACGTTGCAAATTGAGCAATCTCCTACCCATCATATCCCACACGTGCTCAATTGGGGATAAGTCGGGAGATCTTGGTGGCCATGGTAACAAAGTGACATAATTATGTTGAAAGAAGTCTATTGTGACTCTTGCAATATGTGGTCGGGCATTATCTTGTTGGAAAGTTGGATCTGCCAGGGTGTCAAGATAGGGTAAAAGATGGGTTCTAGAACTACGTGGATATAACGCTGCGCGTTCATGTTACCTCTGATGAAGATTAAAGGTGACCTGGAACCATAAGCTATAGCACCCCAAACCATAACTCCAACAGTGTGATGAACATGTCTTTCAACAAAAAACTGTGGATTCCTCCTTGCACCACGTCGCCTTCTAACCCTGGCACGACCATCGTGCATGCCTAAAAAAAATCGAGACTCGTCACTAACGACAATACTGTTCCATTCCTGATCCCAGAGTGACCGTTGTCTGCACCACTCAAGGCGATTACGTCGGTGTTCTCGAGTTAAAGGGAGGACAGAGTGTGGCCGCTATGAAAATAAGCCAAAACTTCTCATTCGTCGGTAAACACTTCGCATGCCAATAGGTCTTCCGTGTCCTGCAAAACATTCATTTGCAATGGACCTGGTAGTGGAGAAACGGTCCCTTAAGGCCAATAATCTTAGGCGGCGATCTTCACGGTCTGTTGTTCTACGGCGGCGTCCAGTGCCACTTAATCTTTGCGCACGGCCTTATGAATATATACAGGATGGCCCATCCATGTGTCGACGGAATATTGCTAATGAACAAATACATTTTGGGAAAATCTATTCATGGGATGTTAAACACGACATTTGAGGACACATTACTGAAATATTGGCCATTATACAGGGTGTCCCAATTTTGACCTACATATCAAAGTTGTGATTTTTCAAATAGAATGCCTCAAATTTTATTGCATATTTGGATAAGCCAATTCAAAAGAAGATATGACATACTATGGGACTTTGGTAATTAGCTACTGAGATATAAGGTGTTTTGTCTAGAAAAACCCCCCACTTCAGCAACCTCTCAGTCCGCCATTTTGAAATTTGGAATGCTGAATTTTTTTATCAAAAAAAACTTACACACCTCAAATTTTATCTTATTTGTTACTTTTTCGAATTTTATATTTTGCTCATACAGATTGTTGATTAGTTACAAACTGTCAAAATTAGCTTTGTGTGTGTTTGGGAATGAATTTTTCTAAGGAAGAAATGGTGAACATGATGTTCGTGGTGATGGGCCTATATCATGGCCTCCTAGATTACCAGATATGACACCGATGAACTTATTTCTATGGAGCTAAGTTAAGCAAGAGGTTAATAGATATACACCATCTACCCCGGAAGATATGAAGGAAAGGATTAAGACTAAGACTGTATATTCCCACCCGGTATAGGTAGACAATCGTGGTCTTCGTTTCTTTTGTTCCGGGAAGATGGTTGGTACTTCCTTCAGATGGCGCCGTTGACAGTGGTACTAGGAAACATAGGGGAGAGGTTCATCGGTAGTGTATATAATAACACTGGACAACAAATTTTAGTTTTTTAATTGTATCTTGTGGGAAAAGTGCACTTCTTTGTTAATTTTGGGGCGCTGAATCCAAAAACAACAATGAAATAAAAAAATGAGTTGCGGTTTAGAAAAAAAAAAATTATTTTTAAGGATATATTGAAAAAAGTAACAAGATTCATATACTTATAAGAATCACTATATGCGCTGTCTTTTTGCTGTTCTTTTATGGATCGTTTCTGGAACATCTCCACCAAGAGTCCAACAGTGGTCTGCAAGCATGGAAGGATTCCACTTTCTCTGGTACCTTTTTTCCATTGTTAAAATATCCTGATGAAGACGTTCGCCGTGCTCATCACTTACGGCTCCGCAATTGTCAGGAAAAAAGTCCAGGTGTGAGTGTAGGAAATATATCTTAAGAGACATATTACAGCCCATCTTTTGATACGATGACAGCATATTTTTGACAAGGGTTTTATAGTTGTCAGCTTTTCTATTTCCCAAGAAATTAGTGACCACCAGACGGAAATCATTTCAATCAGTTTTTTCAATACCTGTTAAAGTGTTTTCAAACTCTGTATCTTTCAAAATATTTCGAATCTGTGGCCCAACAAAAATACCTTCTTTAACCTTTGCCTCACTTAGTCTTGGAAATTTCTGACGCTGGTATTGAAAAGCTGACCAATCTCTATCTAATGCCTTGACAAAGTTTTTCATTAGGCCCAACTTGATATGCAGTGGTGGTAATAAAATTTTTTTCGAATCTACTTATGGCATATGCTGTACATTTTTTTTTTGACCTGGCCGGAATTGACGAACAGGCTAGTTTTGTCTGGTGTAATGAAGTGCCTTTGCCCGACTGTCCCATTCACACAAAAAAACAGCAAAACTTTGTGTAGCCTAGCTGCAGCCCAAGTAAAAGTGCAACAGCTTTCAAATCGCCACAAATATGCCATTGGTGCTCATCGTATTTTATGCATGTCAATAGGTACTTCATATTGTCATCTGATTGTTTCATGTGAACTGCATACCCTATAGGAAGAGATGGTAAAATATTTCCAATATGCAATAACACTGCCTTTAAACTCAATGTTGAACTGTGGACCTCGGTTGGCCGCGTGGGTCAGAGTGTCGTGCTACTGACCAGCCGGTCGGCCGGGCCGCGAGTTCGAATCTCGCCTTGGCCATGGATGTTGTGACGTCGTGTGTTTGTCCATAATTACAAATGTAAAATATAACAACCTAGTTTCTGGCTGCATGTTCAACTGTCTATAAACAATCTCCATTCTTCTGGGTTATAGTTTATATTTAAAGCCGCCAGTAAGCCGTTAATGTTACTGCAGAAAACCAAGTTATTCTCCATATTGAAAAATGGTTCTAAGTCTTTGTGGCGTTTACGAAAAACACATACCGCAACATCGTCTTCTAACAAGTTCCGCTGCTGCAGTCTTGATCCAGGTAACTCTGCCTTACATTTTGGAAGTTCTAAATCTCTTACAAGATCATTTAATTCTGACTGTGTTATTTTGTGTGGTTGGTGGCATGACGTGCTCGGTATAGAATCAGGATCTCTTGACGTTGATGGCATATCTTCTTCCTGACGAATCACTCGATCGCCATGATCTGATTCGTTTTCTGATTCGCAAGTGTAGGATTCTGGGGGTTTTGGAATAGGATTTTCGTCACTGTGAGGCACAGGTCTCATCGCAGATGGTATGTTTGGGTAGTTAATAACCGATTTGTTTTTCTTGGACATACCTGTGGCTTGTCCAACACAAGGTACCATGCAAAAGTATCAATCATTAATATGATTTGTAGGCTCTCTCCAAACCATTGGGACAGCAAAGCGCATAGACCGTTTTTTGCCATTTAACCAGCTCCTCAGACTTGAAGCACATGTATTTCAGCAGATGTGGGGTGCCCACTGTTTGTCTTGATCACCTGGTTTACAACCGAAATAAAGCTGATATGCCTTTGTTATTAGTGGAGTAATAGACCGTGTCTGAGACGCAAAAGTCACATCACCACACACGTAACAAAACTGATCTGGATTGTTTACACACTTTCGAGACAGCTTGCATGAACGCTGTCAGCCAACTGAGGAAAAAATGGCTAATATAAAACAATATAATGTACACGTATGTATAACGTAACACAATCATGCCGATTACATCATCTTTCCTTGCCGAATATAAAAATGTAGCACGTGCATTATTGTGAATTACAGTATATTAACACTGTCACAGCTGGAACACATATAATTACCGTATCTCTAAAACTTGAACTAATATTGAAAAAATAAGTTTCATTCCGGTTTTAGCACATTAAAAATAGTAATATTTTGTTGATTTTATTTAGGATATTTTTTGGCTGTTGATCAGTGTAGTTTGAGCCTTTAGACATAACCCATCAATACAAAAATGCGCAGTTTTTCTCATAATGAAACTTTTCCATTGTAAAGTCTACGTTAGCAGAATCCTGAGTGGAATAAGTTGCTCGCCGCAAACCTAAAAAGTCTCTATTCTAATGCGCTCATTAATATTTATTGAATTATTAAATATTAAATATGTCGGTGGCCGTTCAATTTAAACAGAGTCTGAACAGAGTAGAATTATATCCAGGGAGAGAAAAATATTACCCTCACCTGATCTGTATCTATTGTTGAAAACCTTGGGAGTGTTACATCATGTCAGTACTCAGGGATAATAAAACAATATTCATACAGTTATACCACAAAATGAGGTGTGTTACATTTTTATTTTTTGGAAATTTGAAAATGGGCTTTTCAAACACTGAATGACCGGTAGCTCGAAGACGAGTACCTTTAGGGAAAAGTTACTAAAAAACTTTCTAAATCATAAAAAAAATAACCTGAGCCAAAAATGCGTGTGTTGTGATTATCTACGAGGAGAAGATATTAAAGAATATCAACACATCTCGAACCTTTCGGGTTTTTTGTAGAAGTCAAACATTAGTAGTCTAACAAAGCATGTCTTTTTA